AGTAATCAAGTATGGAAGGATTCATTCATTGTTCATTCTACAAAAAGTATGCCTGTGAGGTCTTTTTAATTAATTCAAATTGTACTTGTTTTTTCCCTCTTTATTTCTACCACTCATATTCCAGATATATCTATATATACACACATAATTATAGTAAGTATATTGTGTGTGCCTATAATAAATATTACAATTACCTTACAGAATTAAAGAAAAATAGTTGGTATATATATAAAATATCTGAAAACATCAGATTAAACACTGAACACATAGTATCAAATCACTTTGGTATTAAGAATGTTGCTTTACTTATACCACACAGAAAAAGTTCTCTCCTACCTGAAGGAGCGGCTAGCATTTAGTCAAACATCAGGAGTTCCTAAATACAACTAGAAACAGCTGTTTTCTTCTGTTTGCCTCTCCATTTTGACTTAGATATATACTGGAGCTATTTTAAGCCAGAGCTTTGATTCCAAGAATTATACCTCTTGTTTTGTCATCAATAAAGCATTTTTAGAGCATCTTTTTTTTCCACTAGCCTCTTGCCATTGCTGACCAGTAAGGTTTGCTGTAATTTTTCTTCTCCTAGGCTATGGACCTCTTAGGAGATTGCTCTTTACTCTTGAGTGTGTTTTTTTGCCAGCCGCCCCATTTCTGAGTCTCTGCATTAGTTTTCCCTCAGTGCTAAGAACTGCCTTTGTTATTACTGGCTATATGAACCGGTATCAAATTGTCAGCAATTATTTTCTTATTTCTTGAAAATAAGAAATTAATCTCAAAGCATCTCCTACCCAGCTGGTAATTACAGTAACAACCACCTCTAACTGTCTCTAAATTCTGTAATCTGTGATATGTTTAATGGCTACAGAACAAAAACAAACAAACAAAACCTACCAACCATGTGTTCAAAAAATAACTCTGGATTTGAGAACACAAGCAATTTAAATAGATGATAGATCCATTTGGGTGTCAAACATGCATTAAGAGCTGTAAAGTCAGCTGTCAAAATCTAATAGAAATATTGTCATCCTTGCGTGTACCAGAAAGAAACATAGCATATAACTTGTACTAGTGCTAATTAATCTATATTGTGCCCCGAATTGTTATCTTCACAATAGTTTGAGTTATTAGAAAGTCTCCTAAATTATGAGCAAATAACTGAAATTAAACCAGCTAATTTAGTCCCTTTTCTACTCATGAATTATACATAGCTTGCTTTTTAAAAATTTATTTCTTCCTACTGACCACATGCCATCGCTGCCCATTAGATTTAGCACACATTTTTCTTTCTCAGTGGTGCCCTTTACTATTCAACAAGAACACATGAATTATTTGTGACTCACTCTTTAGGCTGTGGAATGTACCTATTAATGTCAAGTGTCCAGCGGAAGATGTGTCCATTTTTGCAGAAGAGAAAGGTCTGGAGGAATTGTTGGGGCTTGTCTCACTGGCAGCTTGATCAGGAAAGGAGCAGGGTGCTGATTTATGAGATGGGTTACTTGGTACCTATTTTACCCTTTCCCCCATATGTTAACTGCAGGCTGTTCTCTGTGTCCCATGGTGCAAGAGATGTCATGCTGCTGGATGACTTCTCCATTCCCACTACACCTAGATCTGTCACATATGGGGAATTTTAAAGCATTGCCTGTTCCTTTGTGTTCAAGCAGGACGTATTGTTTCCCTTTTTGCTTTGGTTCCTCAGCATAAGAGGTGTACTTCCATATGACAGATATCAAAAAGTTCTTGGGGCTTTTCTGGCTGAGGAAGAAAGGAATGTTATATCATACCTTCGGTGAATACTACTTTTAGAGATATCTAGCTTCACAAGCAACAAAGTACTTTTGCATACCTCATAGCTCTAGGGAATATCATTCACCCTATGTACCACACAGTTAAATACATGCATTGAGTGAGTGTTCATTCTGATATGTCCATATCCCACAGATATGACATGTCTATGTTGCATTATCTTTACCATTCACCAGAGCCGTTAATTGGATGTGCTTCTGGAGTGTTGTTTATGCAAAAGAAAGCCATCTACTCTGTTTTTTGTCCCAAGGTGATAATCCTTGGGTAATAGGTATATAAGTGGTATGTAGTCTGACATGCAGCTGTATTGCCATGCTTGGAGTCTTGCTCTTTCATGGGCTGAACAATTATGTAACTCTGATTCATTAGTAAAATGTGGACACCAAAATCAGATACTCCTACACAACAGATATATCAGTTGTTTCACTTCTTACTATCTCCAACAGTGTTTCTGCTCACCACCCTTCCCACAAGTTGTCATTCCTGAAGGCACCATCAGCCCTTTGTATGCTTGAATAGCATGTTATAACCCCCTGAATATCCACTGTCCCAAAGAACAGGCTTCCTTTAAGGGAATATTTTCAGTGTTTAACACCTCAAATCTCCTCTGAGATCTATATTTGTGAATATTTCATGTTTTGCTGCATGATTCTGCATTTCAAGAATGAACAAGTTTTCTGATTTCTTTGTTATATAAACTTGGATGTGGTGAATGTAGAATACATCAAAATCTTTTGATGCTACCAGTATTTATTAATGTCAAAACTATTTAAATTTCTTAATCATGGAAAAAATGTTTATATTTAACAAAATGTTACCCATTAGAGATTAAACAACTTCCTTAACTCAGAAATACAAACTCACCTCCAAAGACTATTTAAAATAAATGGCAATGATTTCATCATAACTATCTAAATTTAAAGATTCTTCAAGGATCAAATCCCAAACTTGTCTGGATTTGTTTAAAGCTGAATTTCAGGTCTCGTTGAAGACTGATGAAGCTGAAAGTGTAATAGACTTTCAAATTATTTCACAGATGTTCAGTGAATATTCTAGAAAAAAAAAAAAAAACAAACAAAACAAAACACCAAACAATCAGAAGTATTGTGTCATATGTATTAACTAGACTAGAAATTAATGAGCTAAAGATCTTACTTCTAACTTTTAAAGTTATTGAGCCAATGAAAGAATACCAATGAATTAATTTCAGATGGAGCCAAGTATGAAAGAGGTGTATTTTCACCTTGAAACTGCAGAAAGAAGGCAGTATAAAAACACACTGAATAGGGAAAACAATTTTCTCTCTTACCTCTTCATATAGCAGTCACCCCTGGTCATGCAGTTCAGCTCTGCAAATACTCAGTAATAAGGACAATGCCTTGAAGAACTCCTCTCAAGAAACTGAATTAAATGGGGTTTTGTTTGCGTAGATATAACCCATATTTTCCTTCCATAAACATCTCAGGTTTTCCTGTGAACTACTAAACCGCAGATCATCTCTAACTCTTAATGAAATTCTTTGCTGCTTGTAAACTGATTGCATTACCCATTCACTATTTCTACATTTCAAGGCAAACCAGCTTGAAACAAAACATTCCTGATAAGGCGAGTGGTTATTAACTTGGCTAGTCTGCACTGAGCTTTTCATCACTGCAGCAACTGCACGTTCATACCTGAGCCAAGTCAAGATGCACCTTCATTCTGGAAAAAACTCAGTCTGATTCTCAGCAGTAGACTTCTGATGAAATGGATTAAAACTTTGTTAAAGGTCTGTATTAGTCATCATTTATAGAATGCTTTATTTTTAGTAATTTTAGGGTGTTTTAAAAATATATGTTTTTAAAAAGTATGAATAAGTTAAAGAACATAAGAAGGAAAATATTCACATGGATAAGTATTTATGGGTAAATAAATGACAAGAAACAGGGTAGTGTAAATTGTCAGTTCTTGCAGTGGAAAGAAATCACAAATGAAGTTCTTACAGGACCCTGGATGGGAAGATATGCTGTTCAATATATTGATAAGTAAGATGGAAAAATAAGCAAATAAGGTAGTGAAAAAAGTTGCGGCCTGATTGTAAGGAATTGTAGAAGGACCTCATGAGACTGGAACAAAATAAGTGTCAAAATTCAATGCAAATAAATGTAAATTGATACATATATGAAAAAAATAATTTTAACTTCACCTACAAAATTATGGTTTCTTGAGTTTACCATTCTCCTGCAGGAGTGAGGTTATCTCTCATAACCCTGTTAACAGCAGGAATTCTGACTGATTGAATAACAAGTACTATGAAAATGTCAGTTCAGTGTTTAGTAGTTGTCAGAAAAGTGAACAAAATGCCAGAAATTATTAGAAGAAAATAATGAGGTGCAAACCAGCAAGCATTTATATGCCACTAGTGTAAATCCATGGCTAGCTTGTCTAGAAATGTTGCATGCAGTACCTGCGCTCCCTTTTCAAAAGGAGTATAAAGAACTGGAAAGGTTCAGAAGAGGGCAGCCAGAGCAATCGAAGATACACTGTGGCCTCTGTGTGAAGAATGAGTATGTTGGGACACTGCAGTTTGGAGCAGTGACACCTGAGAAGAGTTATGACAATGATCCATAGGATTATGTGTCACATGGTGACGGTGGAGACAGGTCAATGATTCAAAACCTTGAAATCACCACATGAAGGTAGGAGAAACCACATTCAAAACAAATAGAACAAGGTTCTTCATGCAAAGTCTAGCCAAGCTGTAGAGCTGCTGGCTGAAGTATGTTATAGACGTTTAAAGTTTATATAGATTGAGGAGTAAATGGGAGGAGTTCATGGCAGAAAAAAACTATTTCTGCTTGCGAAGACCCTGAGCTGAAAACAGTTGAAGCCAAGGAGGGTATTCATTTGCTAATTGATATACTTGCATTCAATTTCACCCTTGTTCAAAACAGGATAGCTAGTTAGATGGCCTTAGGTCAGAGACGATACAGAACAGCTTTAAGGCATGGAGCAAAAGTGTGAGTCATGTTTCAGAATTAGTTGTAAGGCACTCACAGTCTAGTATCTGACTTACCCTTTCATTTTTCCCTATAAATAATAAAGCCCAAGTTAGTAATTTTCAAGATAAAAATATTTAGCTTCAATGATTCAAAATATGCTTTTTATTGTGCAAAAGCGATGTCTTAATATAACACTTCTGGGTTTGTCCGGGCCTATTGGATGCCTCTGAGCAGTCTGCTCTCTTCAGAAAGGATGTTGGTTTTTGCATGCTACAGAGGATTGCTTTGTCAGATTTGGCACACGTCCACCTGGCTCTTTTCAGCATGTCAAGAGAAATTCACAAGCTCCCAGGTTCCCTAAATACATCCTTGGTGAGGTGTTTCTGCTTTGTTTGACTTTGACCCTTCCAAGGGAATAGTGAACTTTTTTCACCCACATATATTTTGTTCCTAGTATTTTAGTTTCAATAGAAAAGAGAATGAAGAAACATGGTTAGATTTATAATTTGTAATTTGAGGCACATTTAGAAACAAAGTTTTAAAATATCACATACAATTTTAGCTTAATCTTAACAATTTATTACCTCTCTTACTGCTTAGCACCTCTCACCTGCAGTCTCAATAAGAGCCACCAATTAAGGATGCATTGTTCACAATAACCCTTTTTTTTTCTCACAGTATTATCATCAGTTTTGGATGCTGTTTATGACTCTCTTTCCACAGGTTAAATTTTCTTGGAGTTAGGTTTTGAGGTTGTCCTGGTTTGAGTTGGGATAGAGTTAATTTTCTTCCTAGTAGCTGGTATAGTACTGTGTTTTGGATTTAGGATAACAGTAATGTTGATAACACACTGATATTTTAATTGCTGCTGAGCGGTACTTACACTAAGTCAAGGGTTCTTCAGCTTCTCATGCTGCCCTGACAGTGAGTAGGCTGGGGCTGCACAAGAAGTTGGGAGGGGACACAGCTGGGACAGCTGAGCCCAACTGACCAAAGGGATATCCCATAATTTATAACATTATGTTCCGTACATAATCTAGCAGGAAAGATGGTTTGGGGCTGCTGCTTGGGAACTGGCTGGGCATCTGTCAGTTGGTGATGAGCAATTGTTTTTCAGTTGTATGACTTTTTTTTTCTTAGTGTTTCTTTTACTCTCTTTTTGTTATTTTCCCTTTCAATACTATTATTATTATTATTATTATTATTATTATTATTATTATTATTGTATTTCAATTATTAACCTATTCTTATCTCAACCCATGAGCTTCCTTACATTTACCCTTTTGATTCTTTCCCCCATGCCACTGAGGGATAGTAAACAAGTGGCCATGTAGTGCTTAGATGCCAGCTGGTGTTAACCCATGATAATGGTTAAAATTGTAAATGTTTCTGAAAGCTCTCTAGCTGTCTCAGGTGTTTAACAGTGATCTCTGCCAGGGAAGTGAACTACAGAAATCATAATAATGGGTCATTACTGTTAATGCTCAGTTTGATCAATCTGGACACATTTATGGAAGAAACATACCCCAAGCCATTTTACTAGAAGTCAATGTAACAATGTATCACACAAAGTCAGGGAATCCTTTATAATTCAAAATTCTATTGCTCTACTGTTTTGAAAACACACATCTCTCCTGGCAGAGGAGTATACAATGCATGTCATTAATTTGCAAATTCTTTCTCCTGAGCATAACAGGATCTCAAGTGGGCCAAACCCATGAGAGTGACCTCTTATTCTCTATCCTTGAAGTGGGTGTAGCAGTGGTTTTCTCCAGTGTCTTAAAACCAGAACACAAATGAATAAACTAGACTGAGGAAACTCACTAAATGGCAAAAACACTGATCTACAGGTTGAGACAAATTAAAGGGAATGGCTGTTGTATCCTTGCCATTTGAGTCCTCCTGACACACTTTCTACTTGAGCATCTTTAAGTGATTTCCAAGGCCGAATCTGTTGCACACAGGCAGACCTGAGGGGTTCTCCTTTCCCATGCCCCAAGGGTTACCTGCAGGCCGCCAGACTCTCTGAGTCTCTGCATTTCCCTCTAAGCTCCTTTTTGGCTCTACCTCAACCTGAAACCTGCCACATCTGGCACAGCTGCAGCTCTCAGAAAAAGAGTGACCCCCTCTTTCCAGAGGTTTCAAATGTGAGGCTGTAGGCAGGCAACTTTCCTTTCTGCTGTTCTGCTACAAACTTTATAAGAAATAAATACATAAAGTGTGTTTATGATGAAACATAAATATTCAGAGAGTTTTAGTATCTGTCACACTCAAAATGAGCCATAAATCGGAAAAGTCAGGAAGGAAAATTTGATATAGATTTTGGAACTGATAGTAGGAGGACATTTTATTTTCAAGGTCTGTCAAAGACCTTAAACTATTTTAATGGCAGCTGTTGACATTTTATTCTATTTTTTCTGTACATGGTTAAAAGCTGAATATGGGTAAAATGAGAAAAACTAGAACTATGGATCATCAGCTAGTACAGATAATTCTATAGTTAAAAAAAAAAAAAACAAAAACAACCCAAACAAACAAACAGAAAAACCCCATGACTGTACCACCAACAGGCAAAATGAACTATTTGTAATGATTCTATGTACCTCTCTGCAGTAGTGAGAAACTTCATGTTACAGCAATAACTTTTATATATTAATTTTGCCTATTTAGTGTTGAGCTCTTTGGCACAGTATTATAAAGGTTCTTCAACGCTATTAACTCATGTTACATATATAATTCTCAGGCATTTCAAAATTGGAAGAAGAATTATATACATTGACTTTTGACAGAAAAAAAAATCTTAAGTTTCTATTGGAACTCTTATAACCTATGGATTTACAAATTACTAGGGTTCCTTTAACAGATACACTGCCTGTATTATTGACAGACTGGAGAGACGTTACAGTCTCTCGTAGATGTGCTGTGTTTTAGCTGTGTTTATTTCTTCATTAGGACTCTTGTATGGGTTATTTCTTTACCTACTTAAATAGGTGCAATAATACAGGAGCCATCACAATGTATATACCAGAAGCTTATGGGGTGGTCATTGATAAGGGGATAAAAGGCTCTTTAATTTAATATCTTTATGGTCCATCATATTAAGCTGTAATTCTATAGTTCCTCCAGTCAGATTCTTATGTTGGTTACATAGGTAAACTTTAGGAGTAATCCAACTAAAATAGTGGAATTACTGGGACAACAGTAACATTACATTATGTTGTTGGACACCATAACATACATTACAACAGCATTACACTATGTTGATGGAAGAAAACAGAATTTTGTTCCTACTTTGCAGATCATTGACACTAAGGAACATAATGACTTCTGTAGTGCTGTAATATTCTGTCATGTCAGTGAAATTACTATTTATGGTGCATTAAGAATAGTTTCCTTCCAGAATAAGCAGAGGATAAAAGTAGTGGGCATACACAGTGTTCCACTTTTCTAGAGAAAATGACTAAGCTATTTTTCTTCATGAGACACACACACACACACAAAAGTAGTACTGTACATTTCAGTACATCAAAATACTAATAGTTCCCCCTTCTTCTCCCACACTCTGAATTGAAGCTGTTTCAACATAGTTTTTTATCTTGTATTTCTGAGGAGTAATTAACTACCTAAAAAGTTTAACACAATCATGTTTTTACATTTATGTTTTTAAATACTCTTCTTGTTCCTGAGGTGCAAAAACAGTTTAGCTGTAGTAGTTCCATAAGTCTGTGATGTTGACCAGCAATCACTATTTCACTGTTCTTACTTGTTTCCATTAATATTTTAGTCTTGAACTATGGAAGCCTCAGTTTTCCAGGACCTATTTTAGGGCTTCCTTTGAGACTTTGAAAATATCACTGCAAGTTCAACAAGGCTCTCAGAACCCCTGAAAACCATTTCTAAAAGGTCAGAAATTGAGATTTTGTAAATGGCAACTGTTTTTGAAAAGTTTATTCAAAACAATCTGGATTTCCCTCATTACATCACATTGTTTCTGAGTAGTAGCATAGACATGGGATTCTAGTGAATTTATTGTGTGTTACCCACTTCTTATCACCTCAAAGCCCAGCCCCGATATAAAGAAAATTGTAACAATTTTATTTTTCTACTTGATATTGTGCTCAAGAAAAAATGTAGCATCTTCCATCATAGTCCAACTGTATAGCACTGTAAGAAGGGAGTTATGGGAAGCTATGTGTCCTTGACACCAAACCTATAATGAAATGAGCTTCTCAGGTAGTGTAAATCAGCTTGATTTCTGTTGTTCAAGTGAAGATAGACAAATTTACATCATCTGAGAATCTGGCCTATATCTTTTTGTGTTCTTTTTATTTCTTTTTCTCCCACTGTTATTGTTCCTGCTCCCACATGTGCACTTTTTACCTTTATGACAATAGTGTGAACTGAATTGTGATGAGCAATGCACAGTTCCTGTCCAAGCAGTCTTTCCTTTTGATTTGTGACCACATTTTCTTCTGAACATTCATCCAAGATTTCTGACAGTAAGGTCAGTTCAAAAGTTGAGGAATGAGTATTTTGACTTATAGAGCTTAATGAATTGAGGTTAATTTCCATTTGGAATAACCTGTAGAATAATAATTTTTTCTTTCAAGCTTAGGTTTTCTCCTTTCTATCACAAAAGCACCTAACTACTCTGTTTTAATCAATATAATATGCTTTTTCAAGTTGAATAATGAGCTCAATAATATTGTAATTCTTTCAACATTGAACTAATGTGCAACTCCTTCATTATGTTAGGCATACAGAGAACACACTAAATGCATTAGTAATCATAGACAGGTGAAAGAAATCTCATATCATCTTTTGAGATACATGATGTATGAAAGCATGGAAAATATAACAAGGAAAAAAACATCTTGTTATAGATTGATTTTGATTGATACATCCTATGATATCTCTTCACTAGAAGATCTGTGTAAAATCAGCTCAGAACATATATTTTAGTGTCAGGATTTAGAAAAGAAAGAAAAGTTAATAATGACTGGCAAATGATTGGTTGCAACGGTGATGATTCATCCTACTGATCTGGTGAATAAGAATCATCTTTGGTAGCTCTTTTGGTCAGAAATAATCTTATTCTCAGAAATTTAACCCAATTTAGGTAATCCAAAGCCCATATAAACAATACTGTTTTAAAGATTAGATTATGTACTCTAGTAATTTTTGCCAGGTGAACAATTTCTGCTTTGAGAGTGTTGAGCAAGAGGGGATATTGCTTCATGATTGGGAAAAGGATCCTTGCTGAGCTGAAAGAAGAGGAAAGAAAATGCTTGACTTCATGTTCCTGAGGGCATGAAAAATGTTGTTAATAATGGGAAAAAAGAAAGAACTTTGCTCTGAGACTGGGAAAACAC